GCAAGACGAGGTCATTACGGTGACGGGGATCCATGTTCACCCCTTGACGTCTGGAGCACAACTGACGAATGCTCGGCAAATCGCGCTTTTTATATACCTAAAATCAGACGTTGTACGGACGCGATTAGGCCGTGGACAATCGTATTTGGGACGTGTACAAGACGCAATTGAACGTGATTAGGCCGGTATTGGGGCGCGCTGTTTACGCGGAGAAAGGCGTTTGTCCGTGTTTACACGCGGTACACACGCTAATGCACGTGATAACAACGCGGTACAGACGCGGAACAAACGTGCTATGACCGTGCTCCACCCGCGATTACCCGCTAAAATTTCGCGTCCTACCGCGTGTAACCACGTCTTAACCGCGGCCGTAGCACGTCCTAGCACGTTCGTTCCGCGTCTGTACCGCGTCTTTACCGCGTGTGTACCACGTGTACCGCCCCCGATTACCCGCGGTCTAAATTTTTGGGCAGCCCAAAACTTTTTCGCGCGGCCAACCGCGTGTGAATTTCTTACCGCGTGTAACGACGGGTAAAGTACGGCTGTATCGCGTCTTTATCGCGACCTCAAAACGTCCAACAGCGTCTGCTTCACGGGCAGAAATTTTTGGCCGTGATTCGGCCGCGATACGCCCGTGGAGGGCTGTGTGACCGGGCCTTTAGCTTGCCGGGCAAAACTAAATATTTTGCTGCTAATGCTGGAAGTATGTCGGTCATTATTAGAAGTGATTTGTCTCACAGGTATGTTCTTATGATTTAATATACAAATTGCGGTTTAGAAATTTTAGTTATTGCCCTTAGTGTAGGGGAAAAGTTTTTAGTGGCTCTTGGTATAATATTAGATAATATCCAACCAGACCTATAGATGTTGACTTAGGCACAGCAATCAAATGTAAATGGGTGTATACATCAAAATTATATGGTCTCCTTATACCATAACAAATAGAATGGTCTTGGCCAGACTTACAATTAATGCATTCATCGTTAAAAATACAAATGTTAAGTAAAAGGCAGGAAAATTCATTGCTAGATTTTTTTTTATATAATGACAACTCAATAATAAAAAGAACTTCTCTAATCATCATTTTTTTTAAATTGCGTTGGTTGTCCCCTTGTTCAAATATTAATGTATGGTAATTCAACACTATCGCATTTCCGAAGGACTTTCTACTGTAGTAACTCTTTTAATTTTCTTTCTCGGCTTTCATTGCATTATAAACACTGAATGTACACATATGCAGTACAATTACTGTAATAAAAAATCTTTCCATTATAGACTGATGAAGTATTTACAAAACTTTTAAGTAACATTCGTTATTCTCGTTTTGTTTTTGTGAGAGGCTTCTGTTCACTTAAATATCATATGTAGGGAAGTAAGATATGAAACTATGCCCTTGTTAAATGACCCAGTACAAATCTAGGGTTGGTCAACACCCCTCGTCTGTAGAATCATTAATTGAGAATTTCAGGAATACAAATGAGAGACAAAATATTCTATGGTTTGTTGGGGGTATCGAACAAGGACTTCATATAAGATTTTACTTCCCGTATTCCGTCTTTGCGTATTGCAGAGTTATCTTCTCTTGGGAGCAGGGATTGATTGTTACGTCACTTGTTTGTGATAGTAACGTCATCAATGTTTGAGAAAATGACGTAATTTTCTCACACAAACCAATGACGTAACAATCAATACCTGCTCACAAGAGAAGATAACTCTGCAATACGCAAAGACGGAATATGGTATCTACATAACACAAGAGTCTCTCACAAAAACAGAACGAGAATAACGTAAATACTGCTAACATCATTGAATATTCCTACTATACCAGCTCCCTCGCTGGAGAAAAGAAAATCAATGAAAATATGATGAAAGAGGTAGTGGCGGTGGCCGGATGGATGATGACTGATGGTGGTGGCGGTGGTAAGATTTATGAAGGATGATGGTTGTGGCGGTGGCTGGATGGATGAAGGCTGATGGTGGTAGCGGTGGCTGGATGGATGGAGGCTAATGATGGTGGCGGTGGCTGGATGGATAGAGGCTGATGGTGGGGGCGGGGGCTGGATGGATGGAGGCTGATGGTGGTGGCGGTGGCTGGATGGATGGAGGCTGATGGTGGTGGCGGTGGCAATATCTATGAAGGATGATGATGGTGGCGGTGGCTGGATGGATGAAGGCTGATGGTAGTGGCGGTGGCTGTCTGGTGGCTGATGGTGGTGGCGGTGGCCGGATGGATGGAGGCTGATGGTGGTGGCGGTGGCTGGATGGATGGAGGTTGATGGTGGTGGCAGTTGTCGGAGTTATGAAAGTTGATGGTGGTGGCGGTAGCTGGATGGGAGCTGATGATGGTGGCGGTGGCTGGATTGGTGGATAAAGGCTAATAGTGGTGGCGGTGGCCGGATTTGGAAAAAGGCTGATAGTGGTGGCGGTGGCCGGATCGATAAAGCCGGATGATGGTGGCGTTGGCCGGATTGATGAAGGCTGATGGTGGTGGCGGTAGCCGGTTGATGAAGGCTGTTGATGGTGGTTGTTGCCGGATGGATGAAGGCTAATGATGATGGCGGTGACCGGATTTACGAAGGCTAATGGTGGTGGCGGTGGATGTAGGTTGATGATTGTGATGGTGGGAAAGAAGAAAGCTGGTGGTGGGACAAAATAAAGCAAGGCAGCGCATAGTGGTTGCCTGTGCGGAAGACTGAATTCCATCAACGTAATTGTTTCTCAGCATCTGCATGTCGGGAGCAGACGACATAATTAACTTATACCATTTTCAAGGTCTTTTTGACCTGGTTTATCGTCAAAAGTCATCCCATTGAATTCTCTGTGCTTTTTTTCTCAACACGTTTCTATCGCCAGTCTTCACTTGATGTGATAAATTGATCAAAGTCTATTTCGCTTGAATTTTCTCCCATTTCTAGTACCTTCTGTGTTTTACGGCGTTTGTATCGCGAATACATCTCTTTCAATATTTTACTGATCGACTGCATTGTTCTTGAGATTTAGATTTCCAAATGTCGACTATGCACGTTTTCGGATGTTGGATCGTAGAAGTTTGCTTCTGGTCAAGTGCAATAATAGATGGAACTGAATCTCCGTGTTTAGTTCCCCGAACCCGATTATTTTTCGATTTTGTTTTTGTATCAGCACAGAATTAGGGGAACTCGTAGATTGGCGTTAACTGTTGTTTTTATTTTTCTAAATTCTTAACTGTCTCTATATGCTTAACGTTATATTGTCTTCACCTAACATTACTTTTCAAAACATATAATGTTACTGTATTATGCAAAATCGCCTGTCGATAACAAACGGCGAGCCTGTTTATAAACCACTTCTGGAACCATGTTTCCATAGATTGAATGGAGTCCTGAGAATGAGAGGTGTGCTTTTATAATTAACGAAGAACAGTCTCGAATTGACAAAATAAAGCTGTTAAGTGTCGAATCACTTTGCTGCTTATTGCTTAACAAGAACGTTCACATTTTGAAGCAAAAAAAAAAGAAATAATAAAAAACGGAGCCTGCGAAGGAACATGGAAATACATTTACTATTCCGTGCACGAGTTAACAATCCATGCGCACGAGTTAGTAATCAGTAGTACAATGATAGTGTATCGCTTACTATGGGCTTGGTAATCAATTGATTTTGTTTTCATGGTTTTACACTGTAGATAGTCTTGTCCAATCAGCAGAGTTGTATTATTTGATAAAATAGTTTCAAGGTGGTGCGGGGATTGCTCCCTATTAACAAGCTGTTACGTGTATCGCCACTTAAATATTTCAAAAGATAAACTTTATAAAAGGCATCAAGTGATACGCGATAGGTCAACCATATAAAATGAAACTTGTGCAAGCTCATTGTTAAACGTCTGAGGATATCAATACCGTGTCCCAGGTGTAATATCAGACACAAAGGCACAGTGGTGTCAATTATCATTGTAGTATTGCTGCAGAACACGATCACGCATAAAGGTATGTACAATCTTTTTCATATAATTGAAATAATTAACATCGTTGAAGTTATGCAGTAGGAAATAACAAGACATAACAATAGTCAAAACATATTTTTTTCAAATTAAGAATTTGTAATTCAAACGTTTGCCTAATCAACTCTTTTGATAATTTGGGTGCCTATTAGAACCGTGGGTCATTCAAACATTACGGTTTCGATTTCGTAACAGATATAAAATGATGATGGATAAAACATTAGCACACGGTACAGCTCAAACAATTACAGTACATGGTTTTCGAGAAATGTAGGTTAAAAAATAGTAAGGGAAAGATGTATTTAATAACGCTCATTAGTGAACGTTTCTGTTCTGTTATTACGTAACCGGTCCTCGATTTAAGAAGGTGACATGACTTGTATTTGGTCTAAATTAACATAATAGTACTGTCAATGAGACAGAAGATTATTTAGTCCGATTGTTTTTCTTAGTCCCCGTTTCTTTTTTTAGACAAATATCGTCGAATATTTCTTTGAATCACAATTTTGTTTACATTTCGTTACTTACACACAGCTAGTAATGTGAAGCAATGACGTACCTGTAGCTGTCCATTATTGCGTGTAACAACAGACAGTTACATGTTAAAAATTCATTAAACACCAGCAAAGTTTAAGAAGAAAAAAAGGAAAAACAACATTAAAACATATTTGATACAGGAATGATCCAGCTGACCAAATCACTGTTGAATTTTATTGAAGAAAATGTCTTTGAGAACAACTTTGTTCAATAGACTGCCGTTAAAACCTATATGATGAGGGGAAGATTGTTTTAAAATTATTATTGATGGAATGGAAAAACATCTACAACTTATTCAGGAATAATCGAACACAAATCTACACACAAAATGACCCCTACTTGGAGGAAGAATACATCACATAGATGAATAGCATGAAGTCATTGTCACGAATATAGCACTGATTTCCTGGGAGCGAGATTTTAAGTGCACCAGTATTGCTTTAGGTGTTAATTGAGATACTAATTGCTTTACCCTCTGCTTCATTTACTTTTCTAACTTTATTATAATGTATGTAATCTAATGGTCATTCTGTTGAACTTTCATTGTTGTTCCGTGTTCGATGCATTGCTTTTTATACTACAATTTACATAATTAGTGTTTGGGCTTAAAATCAATTTAAATCTACAAATTTATTTATTTTTTATTTTTATTTTTTTGCCCTAAATTTGTTTTGAATATTCGATCACAGTTGCTCAATAAACGACGATGAATGGATACTCATATTATACATTGTCATGTAAATGGCTTGCTCTATATTAGAGTTAAGATCTTATAAGGTTTTTATCTGCAATATATTACATATTACGTCGTGTACATTTAAAAAGTCTTATCTTTATTGATTATTCAATTATCGCCTTCAATTAAAATGTAACTGGTTTGCCCCTGTGATAAACTAGACCTGCGTAGGTTATTTCTCTACTCTTTATCTATGGGTTGGCCGTAAATAAGATGTCCAAATAGAACAAATGAGTGACGTCACATGAAGTCTTAGTCAGAGTTACAGGACTGTTATGACGCAGGAAAAGCGATAACGTTACTTAACGAAAAATACATAATCATTTAATAAAGTTCCAACAAAACTGCGTGACATAATCGAGGAACGATACGCTTCTATTTTGTAATATATTTATAGATATAGATAAAATAGTGTATGCCTTCAACACACTTCCTCTGATGTGACCTACATATTCTAATACAGTAGTTTTGTCCTGAAAAAAAATCACGATTTGTAGTCAATATTTCGGACTTTATATGAGTTCTTTGAATGTTTCAAAAATAAAGGACACATTTTAACTACTCCTATATACCCTTTTCATGAATGGATAGAATGTATGTTCTCTAAATTAAACAACAAATATGTATGAAATGTTCATTTAAAACTTGAAGAATTGCATCATAATAAAACAACATTTATTTGAACCTCTCCACAAGAGTCGCAGACGAAATCCAAGTTAGTCCAGATGTTCAAACTTTTCTGTTCCAAATATGATATCTGATATAATGTCTACCTTAAAATAAAGTATGTAGGTCTCTAACGATCTCGGAGCAGAGCAGGGCAGTGAACATGTAATTACATCAAGTTCAAATTAGGAAAAAACGAATTTGTATTAAAAAAATATATATGGTTTTGCTACCTGAAATTGATGAGATAGTTTGCAGTAAAGCCTCATTATACTACCACCATCAGCCTAAATAATAAAATGGCGTTACAAAGAGTTCGGCTTCATATCAAAAAGGTCGTATACAGGAATCGTTAGGAAAAACAGAAGGTGGGACTTAAAAGTAATTATTTTGGCGATAAGCAAGGCGTCAAATGAAATGGAACAATGGACATATTATATTGAAGGTTTACAGTATTCAAATACATTTTAACAAGATCCGCTTTTAACATGATTAGGTATGGGGGAAATAACTAGAACTCTGTTTTCGATAAAAAACGATATTTTGACGGCCAGATTAGATTACATAAAAACTATTGAATCTGCTGACTGCAATTTTGGACGATATTATGAAATATTCACTGCAATAAGTTGCACGTATACTGGCCGTTCGTGTTATGTGTAATGGGAGACCAAGTGAGTGTAGACAGATGGTTTAGTAAAAGGGTGACGTCATATCCGTATCAAGATCAACAATCTCCTTCAGATCTTCCACTGTTCTTTATAAGATGATGCAGTTCTCCGCTGTGTGCACTTTGTGATCACTGATAAGAGTGATTCATAAAATCTACATTTTAGTAAAATTGATAAGATAAGTTCTATTTAAATATTTCTATATTTATATTTCATAATTTGTATCGATTTAGGGGATCGGTCTCGAGTTCAAACCAAATTTCATATTTTAATCGCCAGTATAGCCACTCAAAACAACGTACTATCCCCATTCGAACGCACCTTAACAAACATACTACGCTAATATTAATTGTCTATAAACATATGTTCCTTAAGAGAACGCAATAATATTAAGAAACTTTAAAGTCACTCTTTTCCAAGCTTTCTGGCTTAGTCCTTCCATGATGATAACTATGACGTTGATCTTGATGACGTCATAACACTGTTACCATGACGTCAACACAACACAATGACGTCATCAAACCATGACCTCACAAATTGTTACGTCATCATCATCACTTGGTATTGATACCATTGGGGAAGCAGTGGTGAGTTTGTTGATCCAAAATCACTCAATCACAAGCCTTGCTACTTTCGATTCCTCCTTAACCTTGATCTCTTCTAAGGAAGTGATGTGCCACCGGTTTATCTCTACTCAGCCGGATGTCCGCCACGTGTTCCTTTATCCTTTACGCTAATATGTTTAGAAACATTGCATATGGAGAAATGACGGTCACTTTGCTAATTTGCATAATCCGCCATCTTGGATAAAATGGCGGCCATTTGGCCCATTGGGATAACACTATGGGCTTTAAGTTTTTGCGTTTATCGGCTAGATAGTAATCCGGATATTATTTGCCGGGATGTCAAATTTCCCTACACACCGTCTTAATATGGGTTACAAGTTAATTAGCGCGATCCATTAAAACTCAGGTTCCTGGAGTAGATGAACTTTTGAAACGACCAAATAGCCATTTTCTGCACTTTCGATCGAATTTTTCGATGCTGTCTCCATGACTTAGATAAGTTGCCGAGATTCGTTCGGTAACTTCCGGTTTAGAAAAACACAGTTTATGAGGTGTTTTAAGAATATTTGCAATATCCAAGGTTCCTGGAGCATTTGAAAAGTTGATTTTCTTAAATTTGACATAAAATCAAAGGGGCATCATAGGGGATTATGTAAAAACATCGTATTCTTCTGAAAGTGAAAGGAGTCTCCATGTTTTTGTGACACTCTCTCGACTTGAAAGAGGTACCAAATGGATTCATTTAAAATATTTACTTATTCAATCCTTTTTTTGATTTAAACATATTTTATTGTAATTTATATACAATGGGAGTTGGGCACAAGTTTTACAACTTATATTAAGCCCTTTCCCTACAATATATTACTACAAATTATCAAGATGGCATATAACATATATATTTACATTTGCTTTAATTGAGAGAGAGAGAGAGAGAGAGAGAGAGAGAGAGAGAGAGAGAGAGAGAGAGAGAGAGAGAGAGAGAGAGAGA